CAATGTGTAAACCCTTGAAGTTCAAAGCCGGGTAAAATTGAATCTTCCCCAATATTGAAGAGCTATTGTGAAGAAGATAATGTAGAAAGTATACCTGAAAAGCCCAAGTTTTCTCGCCAGCACAGTTGAATTATTTATTTACATGTTTCCAAGGGAAGTTGTATATCATTTACTCCTGCTAAGTGATCTTCAAAGTTTTTAACTTGATCATGGTGTTCTCTCTCTCTCTCTCTCTCAAGGAGTAATTAGTCATTTCATGAGCCATTGCTTCCTCCAATTTTATTATTGGCCGAAGTGTTTCTAATTAGCCTTTGATCACATTATCAAAGGTTTACATCTTTGATCAAATTCATGTAGTTCTTTTACCAATCCTTGTCCAGATATTGTTTATAGGCCCTGTGCATGGAAAAAGGAAACCACAAATTGCATCTTCAATGGCCACTGAAGAAGTAGGTTCCAATAAAAATCTGGAAGTTGTTGCAGAGAATAGCGATAATTCACATGCCTTGGAATTGATAAAAATGCGGCTTGATCGTATTGTCAAACGTTCAAACAAACTGGGCTCAAAGGTATGGATTTTCTAAAACATGCAGATACGGAGAATTAGCATTCTCACATATCGTTCTCATTTACTGTTTACTTTCTCGTGGACACAGGCATCTGAGTGTAGTTGGGGACCTAAAGAATGCATACTTATGCTTGGATGGCGTTCAGATGTTGCAGAAATGATTGCTGAATATGACAATTATCTTGGACCTGGCAGTGTGGTGGTATGGTTTTATACGCCAGTGTAGCGTATCACCTTGCAATTATTTTGTTTTGGTTTTTGATTTGCGTAGTTAATATCAGCTTGTTGCGCATAATATGTGCTTCAAGCATGCACTTTTGACATGTAACTTCTCGTGGTTTTTTTATACTTAAAATTTTATGGATGAGGGAAAATGTATTAGAAGTCCACTTGTTACCCATTGGCCGAAGTAAAAAACTTGCTATTTACTCAGAGAACCAGAAAAGAGATGCCTATCATGTGCACCTTTCACTCATTGCAGAAAAGGATTAATGCATATTTTGTTTATTAAGATTTTCTTAAAGTTAATCAGCTGACGTCAAACTTGAAGACCAAACTTTTGTTTTAAGGCATTGGCATTGACTAGCTCTTTCTTAAGTGAGAATTTACCTCACAGAATATGACATTCATTATGAGTTTCTGTGCAAATAAAGGCTATAATCTGAGCATGACTTTGGTCATCAAGCATGACATGACTTGTCTTCCATCAAAAACACGGTTGCCAAAATGCATTATTAAGTGACTGACAAGTTGCTTCTCGAGTCACTTCAAAACATCGACATCTACTATTAAACTAAATTTTCTTTTGTGGTTCGTGTCAAGGATTTTTTTGTTTTTGGTCGGAAGTGTCAAGGATTAGGTGCTGTGGATCCTGATGTTTTAGGTATTGTGTGATTTTGTCCGCGAACTGCTTCTTCCAATTTGAATAGCAATAGACAACTAAAATCTTCATTTTGCAATTCGTTTTTTGACATGTACATTGATTTATTGTGAATGGATGTGTGCTTAAGTTCCTAGATGTGCAGTTTACAATCCATTCATTTCTGTACACATATTTGCAGGAAATATTGTCGGATGTGCCTATAAATGACAGGAAAAAGGCAAGCAACCTTACTGGTCAGCGCAGACTAAAAAATATCAGGGTCTCCCACAGCGTATTGTCCTGTCTCTTTACTCTGTCTTTCCAGCAAAGTCTCCTATTTCACTTTTTTCATTTTGTCTTTTCCTCATGTGCTGTAGATTGGAAACCCAATGGACTATGATACCTTAAAGGAGACTATTATCAAAACTCAAAACTCAATCAAGAAGAATGAGAATATTCCCCTTTCAATTGCTGTAATTCCTGATAGAGAATGGCTCGTTGGAGGTACTTATATTTCAATTAACTAGAGAAGTTAAACCTGATAGAGTGGATTGCTGACCTGTGTTGCGGTTCTATTCTTCTTGATTTCTCTCTTAGATCCATCCAGGGCAGACAAGCATTCTGCATACTCTCTTCTTCTTGCTGAAAATATTTGCAATCAACTCGGTGTGAAGGTATCTCTTCTCAGGCTTTAATCCAGTCTTGTGACATATTCTTTTTTATGTACTTTTTCTTCGGTATCCTAGTTTTACCACATTAACTGCCATTTGATTGGGAAAACAAAGGAACGATACGAGTTAGTTCAATGCAGGCACAAAATCTGGTTGCAGAAATTGTTGACTCGAAGTTGGGTAAACAAGTAATTTTCTTTCTGTGGGCTCATCTTATCTCCTTAAGTTAAAATTTCTGTGCTTCATAGAAATCCAAGTAAACGGTATTTGAATACCTGCAGATTACAAGAATTAAACCATCCCTAACTTATATAGCAGCTGAGGAAGTAATGAGCCTCGTAACAGCCCAGGGTCCTTTTCTTCTCGTTATTCTCTTTTATTTCTGTGCTTGGTGTTGATTGCTTATCTAAAGAAAATATAGAAATAGAGTGTAATTTCTGAGAGTGATTGAACTGTTTCTTTGTGTGACAGTGTCAGAGAACAGTGAGCTGAATGAGGTATGGAAGGACATTCTTGACGCAGAAGGTGATGAAATATATGTTAAGGTACGTGCTGCTTTGACTCTTAAGTTTATTTTGTTTATCGGTCTTCTGATTTCATATATGTTAGATACTTTCCCTGCTGCTGTCTGAGAGTCTGATCTCCGTATAACCCATTTTAGTCTTTGTTCTATTAGACTCGAGAGATGTCTACTGCCGCATTAAGTGATGATGCATCAGAGCTGCACTGTAAGCCAAATAAAAAAAGGGATAATAGAGATTTCCTTTTGTGTACTATGTTAGTTACTCAAAATGGGATAGTATTTATCCAATTAGTTCTGGAATAAGTTGTTTCTAAAATATTAAAGAGCAACTTAGATGACTTGTCAGGTCAGTTTTATCTGTGATATGAACGAAGAACTACCTCTGAATTCTCTGAATCCCATGTTACATCGAAGTATCCCTTTTGCATAATAAGGAGGAAGACCAAGGTCCAGGCATTGAATTTCTGTAGTTTTAGAAATCACTTAAAAATTATCGCATGGTATACCAATAGAATTTCATACGATGTGTCTTGTGACAGGATATCAGCCTCTATATGAAGAAGGGGGAGAACCCATCGTTCCACGAGCTCTCGGAAAGGGCACACTTGAGGTGCGAAGTTGCCATAGGCTACGTGAAAAACAACAAGAAGGTAAAAACTTAGTATTTGAAGATGAAAGCTGCTTCAGATTTTTAATTTGTACATTTCGTAATTGCAGGTCATTAACCCAATCCCAAAGTCCGAACCCCTGTCCCTTGAATTGACAGACTCTTTAATTGTAATATCGGAGCTCGAAGGAGAACAACCTATTGTTGTGTAAGTCATAAATTCACGTATCTTCTTCTTGCCCCCAAGTCCTCGCATCTCCCATTTGTTATTGAAGTTGTGGTAAGGGCATAAACTATCGTGTATTTTAGAAAAATATATATCAATTTTGCAGTCCATGGTGCGTAATTTTCTTGTGGAATTCGAAAGTTCTAGGATAGGTCTGCTTGAAGTTTTGGTTGTTTTTGGCATTGCCAAAATCGACAATTTCCCGTGCCCCACCACACCCCACCCCCCCACCCCCCCCAACAACCCAACTTTCCTACTAGGGTCCTAGTTCTATACCTCCCTCAGTTTCCAAATTTCGTAGCCGGTGTTGTACACAGATGACTCTGTTCTATGCCGAAACTTCATCGATCCTACAGTAAAATGTTTGCAACACCACAGAATGTTTGCAACACCGCAGATCAACCTTGTCTGATGTTGTATTTTAGGAACAGAAAGACATGCACATGAAGAGTTTGAGTTGGGCAGTGCAGAGATATCCCGGGAACTTTACAAGATGTTTTTTATCTGATATGTTCTTCCTTTCTAGGATAAGACATTCTCCAACAATCATCTTCCAAGTCATGGAGAACTGAATGAGTGTCTACACTTTAGGATAGGAAGATTCTCGGCCAACCTGAATCTCTCTGATGTTCTATCCCTCGATAATCAGTTGATAAGTTTTCGGCATTTGCATCTCTCTTACTTGATGAACATGCTGCTGTATGACGAACCCATTGGAAGAGTGTTTTATCCGGTCTAATCGAGTCGCGTACAGTTTGCCCTGAATATGTCCTAGAGATTGGAGGGAGATTTTGTGGTTCAACAATTCGTATTTTTGAATGTGTGGGTTGTGTCCGACAAGAACAACAGGGAGTGGTATTGGGACATAGGTTTAATTGTTGTCATGATACTTCAAGCGGGAAGCAACTAGTTCCAGAAATGAGAACCACTATATCTTGTTTTTCGACGGCTGGCTACCTCTTCCGGTAACTAGGCAACACCATCACAGGAACTCTGCACCCCGCCACAAATGTTCAACTTGCGAGACGAATCCATCGTTAGCATCGACTGCGCCTATTTACGTGAGATCCAAAGCACCCATCTACAAAGGCAACTACCCAGTACCCACCTATAAAGGCAATTATCGTTTTTCCTAATCAAAAGAATACACTATATGTAATTGACCTGTTGTGACATAAATAAAAAATAAAATTAAGATGGTCTGGAATTGGTAGAGCCAATGTTTATCTAATATATTTTCATAGTTTATTGAACTTTTAAGGGTATTTATTTTACAAAAAATGAATAATTTGAATAATATTTTTTTTAAAGTGATGGTTTATATTGCTTAAGAAAAAAAATGAACGACGAATGACATAAAATATTATCGGTAATGAAAATATTATTATCGATAAATTATTTCGGGCGATGATTTTGAAGTTAAATATCATGGATCTTATTTCCATTTCTGCAATCGACTGGAGAAGGGGGAGGAGAAAGAACAGATTATCTCCTCTCTCACCCACAAACTCACCTCGAGCACTGGCTATGGCCTCCTAGAACAACGCCGCCGCTTCTCCTCTCTCCCTTGAATTCCGATAGATCCAGGAGAGAGAGAGAGAGAGAGAGAGAGAGAGAGAGAGAGATAGCAATGAGGTCGCTGATGCATCTCTTCTCCCTCTACTTGCTGCTCTTCTCGGCGAGCTACGACTCCTTCGTGCACCGAGCCCTCGCCGACGGCGTCACTCCGGTGGAAGCTCAGCAGCTCCGCGACGAGGTAAATTTCGACCCTTGGCCCTCCCCTTTCGATCGACACTCACGCCTCAATCGAATCCCAATCGATTCGATAATCCCGCGGCCTTCAAGCATTTTCTGCTCGCGGCTCACTGAATCCGGCAGTGATCCTGAAGTATTCTGCTGATGGGTCTTGTAAATTAAAAGAAAGTTTTGAGTCTTTATCCTCGCTATCGATCGTCGGGATTGCCGCACTGTGCGTTTAAGCGACTGTTTTGCATCTGCTGAACATGACGCGCAGGTTCGGGGAATGTTCTATCACGCGTTCGATGGCTACATGGAGCACGCCTTCCCCAAAGACGAGCTTCGACCCCTTTCGTGCCAAGGAGAAGATACGATCGGAAATTATGCCTTGACTCTGGTATCGTGTGCATCGAATATTCCCTAGTGGTGCTCATGAACTCATGAGGTGTTACGGTAACAACTGTTTTGTTCATTTCAGATCGACTCCTTAGACACGTTGGCTTTACTTGGCGACCGTGAACGCTTCGCAGCTTCCGTGGAATGGATTGGTAAAAATCTGCAATTTGATATCGTGAGTCTTGTTCTTTCGGTATTTCTTTGTCTTGAAATTGGTGTTCGGAGTCGATTATGTTATGATGGGATTAGTTTTGGACGTTGGTATACCGTGACTTACTATAGTACTGTTCAGACACTAGTTGTTTCTTTCATGGAATCATATTGTGATCTTCAATATCAGTCTTGCGGGTATTAAAAGTTGAATCTCTAGAACACGGTATAGATGCCTTGTTAGCTCTGTAGGCAAGATGAGGGAGTCTAAAAAGGCGGATCGTGTCGTAGTGCAAGCACTAGCATATCCCACTAATAGGGAGAATGCAGTACCACGGAGTTACGTAGCTCCAGGATAGATGTAGCTCGAGAAATTCAGTACGGATATGTTATTTCCTGTACAAATATCTGTTTTCATTGAGGCAAACATCCTGGATATATTGACTAAAAGTGGCTTGGCATATTCGTTAATTTCATTAAGGTGAAAATTGACCCTTTCACTGGTGTCTCTCTTATCTTAATTACAGAATAAAACAGTGTCTGTGTTTGAAACGACGATCAGGATCCTCGGAGGTTTGCTTTCTGCTCATCTGATTGCAAGTGATTATGCTACGGTATTATCTACATTTGAAACTGTTTCCTTTCCTTCTCAATACTTGCTTCTCAGTAAGAGAAAAGGTTTTCTAGGCATTCAAACTGTTGAGAGAACTTTGGAGCTCTGTGTAGAATCATGAGGTTTGATTGTGATTGGTTGTGTAAAGTATTCTCTACTTTTTGATTGTGATCGACAGAACCTATTTAGTTATCCTTTTTGATCATCAAATGACTTTTCAAGATGTATAATGTAAAGCACACCCTATCTAAAAAAGTCGATGAGATTTGGGATCGAGACAACAATTATCAGTCCCCTAATACACTTCTCCACGACTTTATTTCCAATTTAATGCCCGAGGACATATCTTATCCTAATTTTAATTTGATTAATCTGTAAGCGGAAATTCTACAGTTAGGAATAATGTTGGAAAGTCCTGTCATTTAGACGAGTTGATCTGCATTATCTGTTTTTTGTCAACATCTATGTCATAATGTGTATGGTGTACATGTCAACTTGTCATAGACCTTGAGCATTTACTAATGTGTTCAATTGGAAATTCATTGAGATTTTAGTTTAGACTTTGCTTTTTGTGTCCGTTAACTGTTCCTGTAGTCTGACTTCAATTCTCCAACCAAAAATAACCACCGTGATATGCAGATGATTTGACAGATTATTATTGCTTTTATCAAGTTCAATAAGTATAAGCTAAATCTACACGTTTTATAACCATTTTCAAAGAATCCTATGAGGAGCAGAAAAGCAGTTTGCTTTTCATGTAGGTTGGATTATGGGCCAATTGGTTCCAATGGCTCAACAACAAATGGCGCTTTTCACTGAGAGTTTGCTTAAGCCATTTATGATAAAAGTAACGGTTGGTGGTTGGATATATACTTAAGCCTTGCTTTAAGATGTTGAGCTGATATGGTTTATGTTTGCAAGGTCATTGATAGTTGCTAATAGTGATGCCATGGTCTAGTTTCTTATTCACCTTAAGTTTTTTAAAGAATGGTAGTTAATCATATAATGAGGAGCATGCCAAAGCCATAAACTACAGGGAAGCTCTGAGAGTCTGCTGTGAGGATATTTTATACTTCCGATTGATGCTACATGATGGGAACTCAACTTTTTTGTGGTGGGGTCTCACATGTATGTTGATTGTAGGGAATGAGAATCCCCTCATATGAAGACCAATTGCTGCACCTAGCTGAGGATCTTGCAAGGAGACTGTTGCCTGCATTTGACACTCCAACAGGTGCTTCAGTTGGATAAACTATTTCCTCTTGCAGACTGAATTAAATACCTAATGATTGTTGCCTAATCATTGACTGAACTTTGAAGCTATTCTTTCTGATTTAGTATCTTATAGTGGTCTTATAACCTTGTTGCTGCAGGAATACCCTTTGGGTCTGTCAACCTTATGCATGGAGTTGATGAACATGAAAGCAAGGCAAGTCTCTGTGCATCTGAACTTACTTGATGACACTGGGTATTCACTTCTGAAGTCGAAAAGTTGTTTCTGTGGTGGTGAAGGGTGAAATTCATCCGGGTCTGTCAACCTTATACCTGGGTCTGTCAATCTTATACATTTGATGCGCTTGGTTTTGACATATATGATTGGTCATTTTCTGAACTCTTAAATGAGGCATGTTTTGACTGAAGTAGCTTTTGACCGATTTTTGAAAGAAAAGTGTTTTACTGATTGCTTCTTCAACTGCTTAATGTCGTCAACTATTGTGTGTGTGTGTGCGCACGCACGCCCATGCATGTGTGGGTGGTTGGGTGGGTGAATAGTCGCTTTATTTTCTGTCTTGTTATTATCCGTCGGTGAAACTTATACCTGCATAGCCTGTTGAATAGATCACTTCAACAGCTGGTGGTGGGACTTTGACCCTGGAATTTGGGGTACTAAGCCGCTTGACAAATGATCCAAGTAAGTACTATCACGGTTTTTGGCATTAAATTTTTTTTCTTGTGCTGTTTCTGCATAGAAACTATTATGTTATTGGAAAGTTTTCTTGAAAAGATAAACCCCACCAAACCATCACCACTTTACTTGCCAGATGCAATTTCACTAAGCATGCAGTTATACGCAGGATTTTGACCAGTGCCTTGGAAACCAAGTTGCATTTTAACCACAAAGATGAAAGGTATAGAATTGATGTTGCATCTTGGCATTCTGGTTGCTGGCTAAGCAAAGTCAACATAATTTGGCATCAACCATGCTGTTGAACATCAGTAGTAATCTGTCGTTAATCTTAGTAAAAGTGGAGCCCTAAGTATCTTGCAAAAAATGAAGAATCAGACAAATCCTTTGGGTATAAGGTTGATGTAAACATTGCTTAATAGTTAGGATATGGCACATTGTAAAGGCATGGTATTTGCCGAATGTTTTCTGGTTTAGTGACCTCAGGTTTTCCCAGCAACCTTAGTTTACCCATGACATTCTTTTACTGTGTTACCATAACATTGGGCCAAAGATACCACATGCTGTGCTGATGTAGCAAAGACTGAATTCTCGAATGTGCGCTAGAAATATATAAGGCTGCGCTGTAAAGAATCATTATAGTTTCAGACTGAAACACCCTAAGTTAACAGCTTTATTTACCACCTTGTTCTAGCTGTTAATCTTCTTTTGGTTTTACGCTATCCCTGTCCTTTCCTTGATCTTGGTCTTTTATTTACCACTTTCTTGCAACTCCTCACTTTCGTGTCTCATGCTTGTAATTATCTGTCTGGAAGGGCAGTTTATGAGGAAGTGACAAAGAATGCAGTCCATGGGCTGTGGGCACGCCGGTCAAAGCTCAACCTAGTTGGTGCCCATATTAATGTATTCACTGGAGAATGGACGCAGAAGGTAATACTCATATGTTAGATTATTAAGTTTCTATTGTTAAGTAGATGTGATGTTTTGCATTTAATAGCATTTCTAATTTTTCCCCCTTTTGTCAAAGGCCTAGATACTCAAATCAGAGGTTTTCAAGGGTTAAAAGCTGTCAAAATTTGACATTGCTGTGATTTCTTGAAAGCTCCTCTAATATTCTATGTGCTAACACACAGAAGAAGCAGTTCATAAACATCCTCTTTATATTTTCAATACCTACTTGTCATCCTAAGGTTTTTTGGATATCTCTCTCCGTGATGATGACGCCGGTCATTTCATCTTTTGGATTTAGTTAAGATCTGAACCTGTCATGTACCATGTGTTAATTAGTACATTAAAATTCCGTTGTTTACTTGTTTGGACAACTATTTCCAAGGTAGCCACTGAGAGTGAACACAGTTTAGTAGTATACTCTTAAATTGCAAACCTTGACTTTTCATCATATTGGAAATTTTATGGGATAAAAAGAACAATCTCTTGACTGATTTGTGCTGCTAAAGCATGTGGCCATTACATTTTATGTTTTTTCTTCCCTTTTCTGTTATCTGCCTAGTGAGGATTTCTGTTACGCAATGGATTTACAAATATAAATCAACATTATCTGTTATTTTTTTGTCTACTTCCATCTTTATTGCGGTTCATGTACTTTGAATTGGTATAAGATTATCTAAGTGAGGCATGATTGTCAATTGACCTGTAAAATGAAATGCACCTTAACCTCCCGTGCAAAAAGTTGAGATCCTGAGACACTGTTTTGCGTTCAAGTTATTCCGCGTTAATGTTTCTGTGGGTGGTATCAGTGTTTTGTCTTTTTTAATGCTTTGCAGGATGCTGGAATTGGGACAAGTATAGACTCTTTTTATGAGTATCTCCTGAAGGTTAGCATTTGGGTTTTCTTTTTCGTTTTTTCTAGTTGATATTGAGGTGTGCTATGATATAATTTGATTTTTCCTTGGCTTTTTTTATTTGTGATCTATCTCATCTCCGGCAAATCCATGAAAGTACTTTTTACATTCGGTGGCATAAGGCTCTTAAAATTAATGATCCCTTGCTTATAGCTGTTCTCTTAATGCCAATTCCTTCCCTCAAGTCCTGCAGCTGACACTCGCTTCTCTTTGAGAATGAACTCCTGGATCGATAAATCTAGAATTGCATGGCTGTTGTCTTGTTTAGACTACTGCTTGCAGTGGCTATTATAATTGCATGTTAGTTTCAGTGACTCTAATATCATCAGATCGGCACGTTTTTCGCTCTTCGAATAAATATAGACATGCATTGAAGAAATTAACTTACCTTTTTAACTTAAAGGCTTGATTTCTTTGCTTTTCTTTGGATACTCATCTGGAATACAGGCTTACTTGTTGTTTGGTGAGGAAGAGTATTTATATATATTCCAAGAAGCTTATGCGGCCGCCATGCACTATCTACACAACGATCCTTGGTAAAAGCTTGTGGCTATCATGTGCCACTATGTAAATATACGAACCTCTTACCTATTTTTACTTAAGTTGCTTGTTCTTTCCAGGAAGTATGTAGCGTGGCTAATGGTTATCCTGATTCTCTTGTAGGTATGTAGAGGTAAATATGGACTCTGCTGCAATTGTATGGCCTCTGTTCAACAGCTTGCAGGCATTCTGGCCTGGCCTTCAGGTGCTTATTTGTACCTTTATTGCTTAAAATCTAACTTTGTGATGTAGATATTCTGCCCTTAATTGCTTCTGCATGCTTTGGAAGGTTTTGGCTGGGGATATTGACCCTGCTATTCGAACTCATGCGGCCTTTTTTAGTGTCTGGAAAAGATATGGTTTCACACCAGAGGGTTTCAACCTCGCAACACTGAATGTCCAGGTATGCCATATAAAGTTGAATAGAATTACTTGATATCAAAGTCCTATGTTACCTTTAATATGAAAACTTCACCACCTTAGTTCATTGTTGAATGTCTGCCAAAAATGGTGCTTGTCCTAAGTGTCTTGTCCAACAGTGATCTACTAGTAGTAGACAGTATATGAGCCTCACTGATGTTGATCTAGCAGTATTCGAGTCTTTAGAACTGCTATTTTGGCTCCTTTATTCAGCAATCTATTCATATGTGCCACACTGCAAAAACAAGTTGGTTTAGAGTTCCTGGACGTCTCTTAATTTTCCCAGTGGCATATAACAAGACATTTAATGATATTCCCATTGGTGATTGTCCATCAGCACTTGGCTTATCTGAGTTAGATCATCTATTTGTATATTAGTTTGTTTTGTTGTATTTTGCCAGCTTATCATCTAATCTTTGTAAACGGGGGTGTGTAGCATGATACTTTTAACTTCTACATTGCCTACTATCCTGAAATTTTTCCTTCCTCCCCATTTTCAGCAAGGCCAGAAAAGTTACCCATTGCGTCCAGAGTTAATGGAAAGTACATATTTGCTCTTCAAAGCAACTAGAGATCCAAGGTTAGCTCGAATTTATTCACGATGGAGATTTTTTTCTGCTCCTTTATGTTGATGTTTCTCTAAAATGACCCGTTTGGTAAGCTTCTCCTGTGGCATATATACTTAATGAGATTATAAAAAAAATTTAGTTTGCGTCGCTTGAAGTATCTGTATTGAGTGATTTTATGTTACGAAACTCCAATTTTCAATGCTTACTTTTCTCTGGAAGTGATGCATTTAATAAGATTTGTTGTTAGAAGTGCAAGGTTTGTTCTTGTTTATGTTCATTATTCATTTCTTAATGGAGGGGCAGAGTTTCGGCTCTGCAAACTCTTGCTCAACGTATGGAACTCTATATGCTACTTTGGGGTGGTGAGGTTTTGGGTACTTGTGTTGAGGTTCTGAAGCAGCTCTTCAGCACCCATCTATAATCTACTGCCAAAAACTGGTATGTGGGGATAGGCATTTTTCATGCCTCCCACACCTTTAATGACTCCGGATTTTGAAGAGATAATACCTGGAAGGAACCTATTGATGGAGGAATAGACTTATAGTATTTTTCATGAGGTGCTAGGCTATAAAATGCTAATTCCAATTCACGAGGTGCTAGGCTATAAATTGCTAATTCCAACGTTCTTACTAGAAATAACAGCTGTTATTATTGCTCTTCCTATTTAGCTTAATTGAGGCTCTAGTACTTCCTTGTAGATATCTTGATGCTGGACGCGACATGGTTGCTAGCTTGCAGTATGGTGCCCGATGTCCTTGTGGCTATTGTCATATATCGGATGTAGAATTTCACAAGCAAGAAGACCATATGGAGAGCTTTTTCCTGGCAGAAACAGTGAGGATTTGTTATCCGTGACTTCACTTTCTATATGCTTTCCTCTTTCTCTAGAGTTTTTTATTTATTTGAAATGCACATGAAATTTAGGCGTAGATGTTTAAATCATGAGTTTTGGGAGTCTTATCCCGTAGATCTAGATTAATTCATTGCTGCAGCTTTGTTCATGCTTTTGCCATGCAGTTGCTAATTCCTGGAGGTTGAGCAAAGGATATTAAGTGGAATGATTTCATTATATAAAATTTGCTCTGTGAACTCATTCTTGTAATGGAATATGATATAGCAGTACCAATGCATGTTATATATTTTGTGTTCTATATATGAAAACATTACTTTTAGTATGTCGATGTTCGTAAGTTTTTGCCCAAAATATGTGTGTGTGTATGTATATCACTTGGTGGATTGGATGAAGGGAAGCAACATGTGTATTAGGATTTACACTTGCTAGGTAGTGATGGACATCCATGAGGTTGTGACATATATGCTCGTTTAAATGTGCATCACAACTTAAATCTGCACTTCTGAACCATGCATTTTGTTTACCTTTTAATTTCATATGAATCAGGTCAAATATTTATGGCTTCTATTTGATTTGGCTGCTGGTCCAGATAACCTTGTTGAGAATGGTCCATACAAGTAAGTCTGGCAGACAGACAGCCCATTATTTTAATTTGAAGAGCAGATTGTATGTTGGTTGCCTCATTGTTTTGACAGCTTTATGATTATTATCTCTTATTAGGTATGTTTTTAGCACTGAAGGCCACTTACTACCTGCAACCCCTCAAATATCTCTAGTGCGGGAGCACTGTTCATACTTGGGGGCTTACTGCAGGAGCGGGGATTCAAGACGGAAATCTTTTACTTCTGATACCTCATATGGTGAGCAGAAAAACTACACTAAAGAATATGGGAGTCGGATACACACATATCTCCCCTCTGAGACATCTTATGCATCTGCACCATTCTCAGGTTTCATCAAGGTTGGTGCACATCCTTATTGCTAATCCTATTGAATTTGTTGAACTTATTCTGCATTACCAGTACTGCTCTTGTCAAGGATTTTTCTGTTTGCGTTTGTATTCTTATTGACATTGGATGAATGGTTACAAATTTTGTTAATGTGGAAAGGATTGTGGTTTATTCTTGTCCTTGATATTTTTGGATATCTGTTTGACACCCTTAAAAAAATGCTTCAACAATGATTTTTTGATGAGATTGTGTGTTTGGAGCTGCTTCTTATTAAGGTTACTCATTCTATGTTAAATTGGAACAATCGAACAGGTGATTGTGGCATGAAAATTCACTTAAGCTGTAGACTTGCTAATTGAGTTAATTATGTCCTACAGGGGGTTTGTCCAGGACTGACCCACGGACAGAAGTTTGGCATTTCGTACCTGAATCCTACTTACACCCATGATAATAACAGTGACTACAAAGACCGAGACCAAGGAGAGCATAGTGTGGAAGAGAGACATTCGATAGTCATCGATGCTGCTGATCAGGATGATGGAAAAGAACAATCTGACAACAGCGAGTACAATGAAGACATACGGGAATCTGGAGACGGTGGGTCACAAAGTGTAAAAGATCCTGCGTTCCAGAGCAATTCAGCGGTCATAGTTTTTAACGATGATGATGGTAATAGATTAACTGATGACAGCAATTACAATCATGATGACCGTGAATCAGGCGATGAAACATCAGAAAATCGTTTCCCTCAAAGATGACGAAGGTGTTTGAGTTGATACAATCTTGCAGTTGCCAGAAACAAAAGTGACAATGCATAACCCCAGTTTGGATGTTAGCTGACCTCCCAATGCACACCGGCATAGGAACGTGCGCAGCTAGATGGTGCTATACTGGAGGTCTTGATGAATTTTTGGCTTGGTATGGTCCATGAATTAGAAAGAGGCTCGAACCACTCAGCTTTTATGCAATGGGATCGCCTGCTAATGGGGAATGGATCCTTGATTGTGGGTTGCGCATGGTAAATGTGGAGACATTGGATAATTCACGGTTTTCGTTGGTCAATTAGACACTTCACAGGATACAGATTTATTTGTTAGTAAATTGGATAAATCATCCATAAATTGTCGTTATTTTATCGGAAGTGTAATATGCTAGCTGAGCAGAGATGGCACTTGGTAAAATGATTTTGTACACTTCTAGAGGAACTCTTTAAAAGATTGTTTCTGGTATTTAGACTGTATAAAGCATAGCATTGGCCCTCGAACAATTGAATTCTTGTTAGGTTGAACCTTAAAATTCTTACTTTGGGAAATTTCAACAGTGTAAGTAGGTACTTTTCTGACTTAAGTCTAGTCTGAGTTCCACTAACTCGGTACACCTCTTAAACAAGAGTTTGCTCCTGTCGTTCCATAATAGGAAGAAGTTTTCAGTGTAAATCCATGTCGATTTCTGCTTTTGAACCTGTCACAATGCCACATTCCGATTGCCAAAAGCTGTGAATGCGACAATTGTGAAAAAGAGGGTGAACATTCTATAAAACAAGCAGTGGATTCAAGTTCGTGTTGTAGGCATGAAGGGCCAGTGCTGTTAGCGTTTGTTCTAGAGAATTCTCTAGCAAAGCTCTTATGGGGTCCAGATACCGACACCGGTGATATTAGATTAGCATAGCTAATCTATCTGTGTGTACTTTATCTGAAGAACAGGTAATATTGATAGCTAAAGATAGATAAGAATTCACGAAATACACTTGGAACATGACATTGTAGGAAGGCCGCAGGTTAGCCGAAGATCCAGTTTTAAGGCATTTGCTCTGCAATGTATTACGCTAACTTTGCTTTTGTACTTTGGTTATGTGTGTGTGTGTATGTATGAAGCCACCAGTCAACTGGTTGAGATTCTGAAGGGGGACTTAGTGCCAATCGCTGAACAGTGTACTCAAGTTTGTACTAGACAATGCGGATATCAAATTTCTTTTGATTTGTAGAATGTTGAATTGAAAAGACTCTGAACAATTAAAATCCAATGGAGAAAGCAAACCTTGGATGAAAATGGCCTACATATTTTCACCCATTTCCCTTCTACAGGACTTTACATGTAAAGCAGTATCTATCTGTGCGCCGTCTTTCTTTCATCCGGAAAGAAAGATCACGAAGAAAAGAAGACATCAGGCAGGTGCTCAAACCAACAAAAGAGCTGCTGCCGAATTTCCAGAAACAAAATGCAAAAAACTCATGACTTGTTTTTCGTGACTGAAAGTCCCTTCCGAAACTTCAACGAGTCTCCAAAACGGAGACCTACATCAAGACTGAAGTTTCTTCTTTGAGAACCCGAGCTGGAGAATGTTTTTTTTTTCTTTTGTCTGAGGCATATTGATCTTTACCTTTGAGGTTTCCTCATACACAATAACCCAAGCCTCTAGCTTCTGATTCTTTCATTATTCTCAACTTCTTGCAGGACAACATGAACATTCTGCAGTGGTAATTGCTTTCGACATGAGATTATGGAAAGATAAAAGAGCAATTAATCCTCAGAGAGAGAGAGAGAGAGAGAGAGAGAGAGAGAGAGAGAGAGAGAGAGAGAGAGAGAGAGACTTACTCCCATGGAACATCTCCAACCAACATCCAGTCACCATCTTTGTCTTCATAGGTAGGCGCATATTCAGATCCTTTGTAGCCTTCTCTTTCAGAATAGTCACCTGAAAAATAGCAACACCCACAAGACAAAGTCAGATCTTCAATTAGATTAACAAGCTTCTTTTAGCACTCCTTATATTATGAGACTGAATAGATCCCTCTTCTATACACACAATGGATAGGATGGACCAGCTCAATCAATACGGGCATAGGGTCTAGGATTGAATGTAAACAATTTAGTCGATGACTCGTGTTTGTAAAATGGATTTTCATTAGGTCCAGTCACAAATGCCATAAAATATCCACAAGCAGTTGATGCAATGACATAGGCAAAGGTTCTAGTCAAGTAACTACGGTTTTCAACTATTCCCTAAAATATGACAATTATAAAACCATATCTCACTGCTAGATCTTTGCCAAAAGACCGAGAAATGAAAATCATAATCACGTAAATGCAAAATAATATGAATGGTTAGGCTTACCTATGGTGAGTTTGAACATGTTCTCCAAAGCCTTTAGGAGGTCTGGATAACCACCGTAAACCTTGAGATCGATCTTTCTGAGGTAAGGGGCTCCATCAACACTTACTTTCACGTAAATACCAGGGCCCTCTGCTTCCGCTTTCTTCGGCTGGAGAGTACTCTTTCGGTAGGATCGGACAGGGGGCCATCCCACGATCTGTGCTCTGCAACACATTGTAAACCCCACAATTAAGTTCATGAACATCTAGACTCATTAAAAGCAGGGTGTGTACTGCTACATGTGACACTACAAGCAATCCTGAACACACTGACATTAAAGTTTTTTACTCCATGACCCCTATTTTTCTTACTTTTTTCTAATAGTTAGATTAGACAGAACAATAGCAAAGAATATCACCTAATCAATAGACTAACTTGGAATTTGCAATAAGCCAATGAAAATTGTTACAAAAAGAACTCAATCAAAAGCTGATCCTGGGACTATTGACAAATCAACTATACTTATGATTAAATAGGACCAATTGCACTTATCCCCAAGGGATAAATTAAACAGCTATCAGAAACCCCAACAGCGGAAAAGAATATATTGCAATTTATGAGTTATCCATATAGCTTACTTGGGGGCAGGAGCAGATTCATGGTCTTCATCATGGTGAGGAGCAACACAGCTACCCTTTGAAGATCCAGACACATCACTTGACTCAGAGAATGGCCTCTTGCCGTTCCTGGCTTTCTTCTGACCAGACTCATCCGACCCTGGCAGCCCCAACCTGAGCTCAGTCTCCTCCAGGTTGAGAAGATCCTTCTCAAACACCGCATCGCCGACCCCTCTCTCCATCTCTCGAAACTCCATCAAAAGCAAGCTCAAGAAGCTTTTCACCAACCCCTCCCGAAACTTCCCACCTTGATGAAAAAGAACCAGACTTTCCTTGATGAAACAGTCCCAGACCCAAGACCCAGATCACAGCGAACTCTCTCGAAAGTCAAGACCCAGAGAGATATGCGAGCAGAAGAGGAACTTGGGGCATTGGGGTGCTGTTCTTTATAGAGATGACAAGGGGGTAAAAACAAGGCATAAAGGCGCCTCCTTTTTCGCTAGACAAAGAAAGGTGAAGGGCTGTAAAGCTCGGTTTGGCGTTGTTTTGGTGGGCATGAATTAAGGACAAAGAAAAGGCGAGGCTGTCGGGTGGCAAAGGCAGCAGCTTTGAGGCAGGCTGCTCCCGCTTTGGGGGGACAAGGGTGGGACAGGGGGGGCGCTCGGCCGCTCGATGGGACGACCTCGAGATTCGGATGGACGGCCGAGATGGGTTCCGGTGGGGCCCCCCACCCCCCGCCGCGGGGGAGAGAGGGAGATCGCGACCGTCGATACGAGGATGGAGGATCGGACCATGCCCCCACCTTGTCCCCGACAAGATCGATTGTTTTGTCGGATGGCATTTTTTTATGGGCTATTTTCACCTTCTCTGTATTTTTAACTCACCCCCGTTTTTTATTAAAGAGGCAACACTATGATAAATTTTCCAATTGAAATTTTAAGTGGGGAAACCTCCGATTTATACACTTTCCTTCTTCTTCTTCTTCTTCTTTTTTTTTTTTTTCTAATTATTCGATTTCCACACGTGATTTAGTTGTTATGACTAAAAATATCGCCTATTTTTAAAAAAAAATTAAGTAGGCATTGAGTATAAAAAGCACGAATTTTCGTGGTTTTTTTTTTTTTGCCCTTTCGAGATCCTACCGCTACATGTATTAGCTTTCTCGAAGAAAAAACTTTTCAAGAAATTTAGTGTTTTTTTTTCACATGGAGCAAATTTATAGATTTACTGTCAAGAAAAATTCGAAAAAATTTGAACATAAACAACATTTAATACAGTAAGATATTTATGAGGATTTCGTTAACTAGTGCTTTCGAGACACTCGTAAAGCATACCTCCTAAAGGAAGATTGCTTTTGTCGACGTATCACGAGAAAGACACTTTATTGGAAATGGTAGTCATTTAGATGTTTAAAGAGTGTCCCCAAACATTTAACAAAATTCTAAGTAGCAACATCAACTTTTTTATGTCGTAGTTATTGGGGCATTGCAACCCAAAATGGTGGGACAACATTGAGAGAGCATTTAAGTGGTCACCGAACTTCGGGCTACATTGCATGTGGCATTTTGGAGGGTCATTGTATATGGTCCTCACTTATCATCTTCTCGTTAAAAACATGGTCCATAACTTTAAACAAGTGCCTTAAAGTTGCTCTTATTTTAATTCCAATTCTATATAAGAAAGCATTGATTTAATTACAAACTACAAATAAAATATGATTTTTGATTTAGCATTTCAAAGAGGGGAAATCTGGCCTCGGATTCCTCAGTTCATTGGACAGGGATAGATGTTAAATAGTTCAAAAGCATTGTTTGACCGAATCCCTAAGATGAGACCATGGGGTGTTGATTAAGTAATTAACTTTCTCAAGGCGAGCAGAACAGCATAATTACGATGAAATGACATGGTTGACCCATTAAACAGGCTAGGTTTGACTGGAGTTCATGTGGAAGATACAAAGAACCCGTTCGTACCATATTTCTTTTACAAGGTTTCGTGTGATCTCGAAAAATTAATAATTTAAAAAATATCTTCACATAAAAGATTATTTGTTTTGTTTACAAAAATTAGCCAACGAAAAAAATATCAACAAGAATCTCAATCTAATTTTTTTCATCGACGATAAAAATAATTTTCGTTCATTCTTGCAAAATTAACCCGTTCATACAGGTTCGATTCTCCTAACCCATTAATTAGCCAAGTCACACTTTAAATTTCCATGTGTCTTAACTACACTTAACCTCTCCAATTACATCGCTTTTATATAGATGTATATATATAAGTAGACGGATGGTATCCGATGATACGAGGCCCTCTTTATTGGCATCACTCGTTTTAAATTAAGCTATTTATGGACAAGACTTTAGTAGACTGGCGGTCCCTCATTATTTAAACATTGAGCAGACAGCAGGTATAATCAAACTTTTTGTGTGGACCACTTTGTTAGTTGGCGAGCCTCTTCGAAGCAGAACAATGCTGAACCACTGTCGATGCGTAATTATATGGGGAAAAGTGCCAAAAAAGTCCTAAACCTTTTGCATTAGTGCCAATTTAGTCCTAAACCTTTTTTTGGTGCCAATTCAGTCCTAAACCTTTTGCATTGGTGCCAATTTAGTCCTAAACCTTTTTTTGGTGCCAATTAAGTCCTAAACCTTTTAAATTAGTGCCAATTCAGTCCTAAACCTTTTATTTTTGTGCCAATTTAGTCCTTCCGGTCAACTTTGACCGGAATTTGCTGATGTGGACGCCTGCCGGCCGGCAGCCGGTCACCGGCGCCGACGTGGCGCTGACGTGGACAAATTAAATAATATTTTAATATTTTTTTGAATTTTTATTTTTTTCCTTTTTTTTCTTTTTTTTTCCACTTTTTTTGTTTGGTTTCTTCTTCATCTGGCCGGTCGCCGGTCCGGCGACCGGCCAGAGGCCAGTGGCCGGCGAGCTCGACCTCGCCGGCCACTGGGGAGGGCGGCCTCGCCCGGCGAGGCCGAGCCTCGCCTTGGTCGGGCGAGGCTCGAGCCCTCGCCGGAGGCCGTGGCGAAAGGTTTAGGACTGAATTGGCACCAAAAAAAGGTTTAGGACTAAATTGGCACTAATGCAAAAGGTTTAGGACTGAATTGGCACCAAAAAAAAGTTTAGGACTAAATTGGCACTAATGCAAAAGGTTTAGGACTTTTTTGGCACTTTTCCCTAATTATATGTATATGTATGCATGTGCATAAATATGTACATTTTCAAATAATTTGCCGAATTTACTGACAGAAATCATTATTGGGAATTCGCTGCATGTGTGTTTTACACGAGCATTGCTCATTGCAAGAATGACTTGGGAGAGGTAGTAAGAAACTAGATTATTCTTATCTGTTTACGGTTGTTTTAGAGAGATTTGGCTTGATAGGCTCGGGTGGGGCTCGTTAAGATAAACGGCCTAATTCCCAACCATTTCTTGCGAGCTTGGTGTCGTCCCATATCCTCCCGACATGCTGCAGCCCGTGATTAGCTTAGTTGCCCCGGACATGTGACCACCTACTTACCTTCGGTTATCTATGCCGGGATCTGTAAACCAATCTTTTCGATCTTACTCACTATGATAACCCATCAATTCATTCATTTATAGAGACTTTTGGACTTTTGAATGTCTAGATTTCAGAACCTCTATTGACCTTAGCATCTCCAGACTTTAGCCCAGTAGCGAACCACCGAGAAATTCTCCATAGTAAGTGAGTTGTCACTCCTCGCTTGCCACCTGACATCTAGGTCCACTACGATATCCCGCTTCTCCTCTCACCTCTCTACCTCATCCCGCTTATTGTGCTACTGCTGCGCGATGATGATAATCGTTTCGCATGATTTGGGAACTGCGGGAGTAAACTTTCCCAACAACTTTGAAAAAATCCTCCTTGACAATCATCAATTCTAATCCAAATAACTATGAATAAAAGATCAATGATGTTGGGTCATTATATGGTTTTGATATATGTAAAATAATGAGCCAAGTCCATAGTTAAGGAAAAGGAAAAAAAAAAAATAGTTTATGCCAGGCAGATATACAAAAAAGTTGCACATGGAAAGCTAAGCCACCTAACTAAATTTTTGGGGGGCCAAAAGCTTCTCTTGCATGAAATAACACAGAATGAAAGCTATTCATGTTCTATTCTGACCTGTGTGGATGTACTCTAACCTGGGGAAAATTATTAGGTGCACCCGGGTCATGCGGATCCAATGCATATGACCCGTCGGATCATATGGATCCCACGTATGTCTCGTAAGATCGAACGGTTCGCATGTGTCAAACTAATTGCACCGAATGCACCCAATAACTTCTTCAAAGACAAACAAACAGCGACGTATTCCGATCTAGCAAGTGCGGTCTGTCGTTGATGGTCCTATACTCCAAGGGAGGAGACCAACTTCACGAGGAAACTCCCACAAAAGGAGGAACACAACAATGCACAAAACAGTGGCGCCAGAGGTGAAGGGAAGTGTCGCCTTTTCAGCATTTTTTTTCTGAGATATTCCATATTGATTATTTTTTAATCGATCACAATATTTATAATTGGATATTTGAATCTAAACTTGTTAATAACGAGTGCGCTGGATTATATGTACTTATTAAGTGACCAATTAGGGGATTAATTATAATGAGATACTATGGTATTCGGTCAAAGAATTAGAATTAGTATCTTGACATTTATAGACTATATAAGTAATATAATGAGAATATAGTATTTTGAGTAAGAATTACGATGTTGGAAAAAGCATTCTTAATTTTGAGTGCGTGTGATGATCCCCATGCATAAGAAAATATAATTTTCCATTATTTTATTATATAAAGCTTACATTCATATATAAGTTCACATAGCATATGTCATATCATTCATCATTACATTGTAAAAGGCATATTTTTAGTTTTAGTTATTCTGTATCTATCAAAATACAACAGATATCCTAAAATAAGACGAAGCGACGTCTGGTTGGCCAACAAATAAAATACTGAATCGCTTGATTTGATAGATATGTATCGAATAGTCAATTTGTTACCGAACCAATAGATTCGTGTGCGATTTAGGTGATTAGCAATTCACTAAAGGTCTCGAATCGAACGAATTGTACCATTCTAATAGTAATAATTATGAACTTAACCTGTAGGCCAACACGCTTTCCCGACATTTCCTAATCTCTGGAATTTGGAAAAGTCCCACATTGTCTATAAAAAGCAAATATGGGCCTAACATGTGTTCTCTTTACTCAACAATTAAAGTTTTTTATTAGAATTTTTTAACATAATATTATAGTTTCCATGAAATTTCCGTACATCTCTACTTGTATTTCTCTTCAACCCTAGAGCTTAAGGTTTTTCAAGTGGAAGTTGTAATATGATATTAAAGCCCCGGCAGTAATGGTGAAATTATAAGAACTAAGTCCAATAAATGCAACAAAAACTTGATTCCACTTACTCCATTTTCCTAAGGCTATGCCGTTGGCTGGTGTGAGAGAATATTAATCTCTATTTGTTTTGCGAAAAATGAATGATCTGAAAAATATTTTCCTAAAAATGATCAATTGTCAACGAAAATGTGCGGACAGAAATTATTGACGATAATAAAAAAATATTTTTATTTGACTAATTCTTTCAAGTGATCATTTTAGGAAAATATTTTCCAAATCATTTAGTTTTTGCGAAATAAACGCGGCCTTAGAGTCTAACATTTACTTAATTTAAGTATGAGTCTAATGTACATGACGGCTCTCCCTACTAAGTCTTGGGGTTGAATTCTTATCCTTCTGCTGGAGTTCTCTAATGTGAAACTTTACTGGAGAAATCATATCTTGGACTTTAAATGTTAAGATTTGAACTGGGCGGAACATGTATGAGCGAGTAAGTAGCGTAAATGCGGAAACAAATTTCAATTTGAAGCACCCTAACATGATAATTTTCTTCAAATTAAAGCTTTCTTAGGCCTCGACATCATCGTTGACCCCAGCATGAGCCGCCACACACTTCGCTGGCCATGTCTAGCCTCGTCGCAGTCCCTCCACCTTTGTCTCATGGACTCACTACCTCTAGCAATCAGCTCGATCGAGCACGTGTTTGCTGCGCCTCAACCTCGCATCCGAGGCTCGCGACTTGAGACTTGAGGTTGCCAACCTTAAGAGACCCTAGTCGAGACCTCTACATCCCCGCGGCTCTAGGATCGCCATCGACTGACATGCGAGGTCGCGCGCCCAACCTATTTGTCTTCATGAACAAGAGGGCCACGGAAACAAAGACATCGGCCGGTGACGGCTACAGGAGATGGTCACAGGGAGGCGACAGTAGCGGGATTTGAGGGATGGCCACCGGCAATAGCGGTGGCGTTAGGGCAGGGGCTAGGCTAGCTGGTGGCTCTTCGTCGGAGGAGGAGGGGGAGACAGAGATGCCTGTCATGGTTTTTGCATGTTTGGGATGAATTTCCTCTAAGTCATTTAGTCTGGTCGGATAATTTTACCCAATAAAGTTACCTCATAACTTTAAAGGATCCCAATACCTTCGATGATCCGAGTACTCGTCTCACTTGCCATTTGAACCCACATTCAATTATTAAATCTCCATAATATGTCCTCCATATTATGATGGATCTATTTTAAGAAGAGAATTGGGTACTCTATCCATCAAAATCAATTGCCAACAAAAGAAGAACAAGAGGACTCTTCAGGAAAAAAGGAGGGCAAAGATCAAAGAGCCGGCAGTCGTTCCACTTTCGAAGAGTTGGCACGACTCTATATAGTGGTCTTTTTTCCATGACTGTCTTAGATATAGATAAAAGAATTTAGCCAATACGTTGAGAAAATATCGAGCAGTTGTCACATGTCATGTCATTAACCAAGAGTATCCAATTACCAATCCTACATCATCATATTTGAGAGAGAGAGAGAGAGAGAGAGAGAGAGAGAGAGAGAGAGTTAAAACTCTAAACAAACAAGTAAAATTACTCGCACATCAGACCAGGCTAGCTTCAAGATTAACACCTTCAAAGTGATCCCCCAAATCTTGCCTCTCCGGTTGTGTCCAACGGCCATCCTGGCCTCTCACAAGCCCTTTGTTCTCGAGTTGCATCCACTTTGGTGGGACAAGTAACTCATCTTTCAAGAAGTCAGTCGCTTTGTTCACCAACGCAATGTCTCTCTTGCTGGCGAGCTCAAACTTCTGGCCCTTCCCTTTATACCTATTTGCATTCACACAAGTGAAAATAAGTGCGAGATCTGTTAAGACAATAATGATGGACAAAATGAACTTCATAATGTGAGTTGGACAAAGTAAAGCTGCCCTTACCCATCCAGGAGATGAAGAAGAACTTCCATGTCATGATAACACAACAGATCACCTTCGTCCTTCAAGTAGGGCGAGTTTTCGTGATTCAACGCAAGCTCGATGCCAACATGCGAGTAGCAACCCCATTTTTGCAGTATGGAAGGTGCATATTCATTGAAAATCATACCGGGCACTGTCGGAACCTTGTCATGAACGTTTAACACTCTCAGGACCTTCACTCCTAGCTCCTCAATTCGCTGCTTGAATCTGGCATTGCCGACTCGTGGTCCTGCAAACGAGAACACGCACTTGGGGACTATTTTGCCGTCCTGCCTAATGTCTGTACCCGTCTCTGCTATGTCGTATGCACTTAATATCGCTAGAGCGCTTCCAAGGCTATGACCTGTGATCGTAATGCTCAAATCCTCGTCTGCGTGCTTCCGTACCAACTGCTCTATTTCTTGGAGAACATGCTCCCGCGCGGAATGCTTGCAAAACCTGGAATTTTCATCCTTCTCGGTGTAGAGATGGAGGAACCCCGACTCAACCTTGGCTTTTCGATCAGGGCAGGGGATTCCCTTTTGCCTGACGGGGCTCATGCTGTACATGGCATCCACAATCCACTCGGGCTTCCTCATCGTGCCGCGCCACACTATGGCTATGTCCCGTCGTCCTAGAGCTTTCGACATTTCATCATCTGATACAGCAACGTACCCAAACCAATTAGCTGATTCGCTCCATCTATCTCGCCACAAGGATTTCTTGAAGAAGTGGGGATGGTTATGGATATTGCACGAGGCATAGAGGTAACGGGTCACTTCATATCCAGCCCGAGGAAACTCGAGGGAACGGAAAAACTCGCTTGGCTTGTACCGACAACTGCCACAATACTTGGAGAACAGGTCGGCATCGAACGCGTCATAGGACGCTTGAGCCATTTCCCCGTACCGAATCAGCTCGGCCCACAAGAGGGGGTCGATTGGATCGAGCAAGCCTACCCAATCGCTCTTGCCGTGGATCTCTTCCCATGTGCTTGCCAAGTTGTTGCTAGGCTCTTCGATTGTGCTCCAATGACCATTTTCCTTTGTTCTCTCGCTTTGAAGACCCGGAACAATGCACAAGGACTCATTCTTGGATGATACATTTTGTATGAAAAGTCTTCCGTTCGATGGGGTCTCTCTTCTCGTTAGGCCTCCACATGAGAATCTTATAGATCTTATTGAAGGTGAAATTGGATCATTGAATGTGAAGATCTTGTTGTGGTGAGTGTGATCTCGAAAGAACAACGCACGATATGGTATGGCCATTGAGGGAGCCTATGGTATGAAGCTCTTTCCTTGGTGTTTGATGAGGAAGAGTTTGATTCATCATATGCTTGATGGTTTTGGCTATTTAAAGCAGACTTTGTTGATAAGTTAAAGCAGGTCACTCAACTTTTCTTGGTCTTCGTCTTGTTAATGTATAGATCGTTTCACGAGTTATAAAATTACTTGCAATTTGTCGTCTAACGGAAATTGGAAAATTCCGTCGTTATTAATAGGTTGTATGGAACTGGAATAGCAGGTAAGTGTGAAGTCAATTCGATTATGCATGTTCTATCGATTAAATTAAGCAAAAATCGTGCATTGACAGCTAGTGCAAGTTTCAGTTCATACTAGACCGTATGGTTTGATGTAATTTACTATTTTAAATGTTGGTGTTAATCCCCTTCTCGTGGCGAACTTATGGGGACCGACCAATTTGTGTTCTCATTCACGTAACGTATTCAACTGCATGTTGGCACATGACTAAAGTCAAGTGTCAAAGACGGATTGATTTTATTTTATTTTATTTTGCTGGATAACATATCATTAACACGCATGGACGAATATTTTTATACAAAAGTTATGATTTTTTTTTAGGGAGTTATACAATGGTTATTAATCTAATCTAATATGGGTCTTATGTTTCGTTACTCTTGACTCATGATTTTCATAATTTGCTTATGTGGTTTTACTTATCTCAAACTCATTGTGTTATTCGAGTTCTATGGCGCAAGTATATACTTGTTTTGATGATGAATCATGTATGCGCATAGAATGTGCACGAGGGTTAAATACATGCGTTGAGAAGGAAGATCCACTATTTTTCATACTCTCATTTGATGTTTCTCCCCCTTCATATTCTTTCACGGAATATGTATAAATTTTAGAAGCGCGAACATATGATGATGACACTTCAGGTCGGCTAACTGAAGGTCACAATAAATAGTAGACGTGTGCTGCAACGGCGGTGTTTTGGACTAGTGTGGTCTTTTTATACCCGTCGTATCGGTTTATAATTATCTTCACTTGCGAGTTGTGCGTGATGCCGTCTCTTATTGTTTTTAAGTTATTTTGATATACTATGCAGAAATTATTTGGATTTGTGAGTAATAAAATTAAAGCAATGCACTATAAACCTTAATAACAAAGTTCTTCATGTGACAAAAATAAAACAAATCTAATCAAATGTATAAAGTCAATCTCTGTGAAATGAAACTGAAAAGAAAAACGAATTTACTTGACGTTTCTGGTGGAGTTGCAACTTCGGTACTATCGAATGAAAGATGATGACTTAGTGGAATCCACATGTTCAAGCTGGCCCTTTTAACTTTTCATGCAAATGAAAGATTATGCCACTAACGAAGTCATTTGCTGAAATTTCACGGTTTGGTCCTTTTGGAGGATCTAATTGAATTCACCTTTTGAAATTTTGGGGGCAATGCGTACTTTTAGTAAAATATCTGAGTGATTAGCAAAACTCACAAATCAATTTAATTAGGTACTATAATGACCGAACTTAATTCGTATCTCATTCAATCATTGTATCCCGCACCTATCATTACAACCCTTTAAAATGTCGAATAAATGTCAATGTATCACTGAGCGCTAAAGTTTCAAATATTACAATTCTACCATCTTAAAGAAATTTCGTCCTTGAAATCTGAGATACTTAATTATGAAAATGACTTAAAATATTCATTCTGCAAAATTTCTTTGGTTCCATGATGTTGTCGTAGAACTTTAGTTAGAGCAATCCACTTAGTTTGCCATTGCTCCTTTCGATCTAATATCCGAAGAGGCTTTTCAACGTATGATACCCATTCCTCGATCTCAATATCCATTGCCTGATAGTCTAGAATGGGAGATGGAACGGGGTTGTACTTGCGAAGCATCGGAACATGGAATACATCATGTACACCGGCAAGCTTCGGTGGTGCTAACCGATGTGCCAAATCTCCTACTCATTCCACTATATCGAATGGGCGATAAATTTCAGGCTCAATCTCTCTTTTCGACCAAACCGAGCTACTCCTTTCATTAGTGAAACTTTCAGGAAAACATGATCTCAAACCTGAAACCCCAAAAGCTGTGGCTGTTTATCTACATAAGACTTCCATCGACTTTGCGCAATTTGAAGTCCATTTATTAAAACTGAAATGACATCAGACGAAACTCAAATCAATTTTGGCCCAGTCAATCTCCTCTCGTAACCACTGGGGGTTTACCCCAGTGGCCACCCTTCTCACTTGAGAAGGGGGAGGTGGGGAGTTCGAATCCCCTCCTTCGCAAGGGGTAGGGGTGGGCCCGCGTAGTTTAAGATGTGGGTTTCGACGCCCACGCCCTGCAAGAGGTGGGGCGCAAGTCTGAGTATATATCGTGAGTGAGAGATAGAGTATGACCGACCACAAAAAAAAAAAATCTCCTCTCGCCAACTTCCTCCCCAGCAAATGAGAGATCTACACTCGCGCCCATATAACGCTTCAAATGAAGTCATGCCAACACTTTACCAATAGCTGTTATTATAGACGAACTCAATTAGATGCGAGAGATCATCCCAACTACTCTTAAATCAACTACACGCACGGATGATGAGCGAGACGATGGAGGACTCAAATACGGCATGAGCTTGAATGAGCAAATGGCATGCATAATAATGTGGCAATTGAATATAGCATGAACAATAACAGCTAAATGGCAAATGACGCGGCAGTTGCATACACCATAAGAAACGACATGCAAAAATGACGTGGCAATTAAATACAGCTTGAGCGAGTGACATGCAAAATGACGTGGCGATCAAAGATGGCAGGAGCGAATGACATGCAAAATGACGTGACAATCAAAACCGCCATCAGAGAACCATATGCAAAACGACATGTAAAGATGCGTGGGATGTGGTTTTGAGACACGTGTCAGAGTCCCACGTTAGAAATCGAACTTTCGAACGAGATCAGTTGGCATCCGCGGGGCCGCAATTCATGAACTCGGATCGGGTGGCCACTAGTCCTCCACCTCCGGTCCCATCACCATGGCCTACCCATGCACTTCAGTTTCAATCATTTTGATATCGCTTCCTAAGGGTTGACTTGCAAAATAAGGGGTTTATTCTATCACTTCATATATCAACCACCTCATATCATAGTGAAAAATATTACTAAAAAAGTCATAAATTTATTGTAATTATATCAATGCAGTTCTAAATCTTTTTTTAGGAGCTAATTGAGTCATAAACCTTTTGTCTTTATGCCAATTCAGTCAATTCGACTAATTTTGGCCGAAAATTGCTGATATGGACGTCGCTGTCTTATATGGCACGGCCAGCGCTGAGGTAGACGATTTTTAATAATATTTTAATATTTTTTGAATTTTTATTAATGTGTATTCTTTTTTTCTCTAAACTTAGGGATGGGATGCCCTCATCGGAACTAGGCGACTGCGTGAGGGCCGCGACGCCCTCGCCCACTGCCGATGAGGGCGTCCTAACCCTAAGTACAGGGAAAAAAAAAAACTAAAGAAATGAAAAGAAAAAATTATATAAATATAAAAATATTATTTCTAAAAAGTCCACATTAGCGTCGGCCGTGCTACGTGGCATGGCCGTGCTATGTCACGCCATGCCATATGACACGGCCGGCGTCCACGTCAACAATTTTCAGCTAAAATTGACTGGATAGACTGAATTGGCACAAATGCAAAAGGTAGGATTGAGTTGACACAATCACAATAGATTTATGACTTTTTGGATAATTTTTCCTTTCATTATCCAAAACTGTTAGGGGTGTGCAAAACGGACCGCCCAAACCAAAAACCACCCGGACCGGATTGGACCAGCTAGTTTGGTCCGGTTCCAGGAGTGTCGGTCCGGTTCGCGATTCCTAAAAGTGGAACCGGTGTCCGGGCAGTCCAATTTCCGATTCCAAGGAGACTAGATCGGGTCGACTACATGTATTTTTTTATTTTTTATTTCTTCAAAAAAAAAAGTAAAATGTGAATTAAACACTACGTGAATTGCATTGATAAAAATTAGTAAAATGTGAACTAAGCCCTAAATGACCGGTTCTATTAGACCAGACTAGATCCAGATTTGAACTCGATCGATGGCTCGGTTCAATCCACAGTTCTCAATTTTGAGAAGCGGATCGAAAATCAATCTCCCCTAATTGGAACCTGAATCAAGAACCAATCTCCCCTAGTAACCGTACAGTGTATAATTAACAACAAACAGTGGCATCCGTTCCAGCAACACTCAAACAATCAAATCATAGAATTGAAACGTCCTAGTCACGAATCGATCCAAAAAAACTTCATTCCAACCGCCGGCGTAACGACCTGTAGCGTGCACAGCTACGCTGTCGCACACTTAGAATCTTACCCTAAGAAGGAAACTCCACCTAGACGTGCATTTTCTAATAAAATAAAGAGAGGGACTTTCGGCCCTACCTGGGACTTTAAGCTTTTCTGTACCCTCCCCCCTGTGGATGGAGATGGGGAGCTTTCTAGATTTGATTGGACCGCTGCGAGCCCACCGAACAAATAGACTAGAAGAGAGCTCCTTTTTGAATTGAATTCTTTTATCCTACAGTGGAAACTGATGAGAAGTCTCATCTCATTGGAGGGAGAATAGCGCTCTGGGAATGAAATCTTGGGATGAAAAACAAAGAAAGGCCTCTTTATAGGGAAGGAGGGCCTGCGTTTGTCGGGTCCTCTAACTTTGGCATATAAATGCCTGACTGGTGTGATTCTCACGCTATTGAAAAGCTTATAACGAGAGCTTCCGAACGAACCCGATATTGCTTAGGTGAATCTCAAAATCACGGACCCGAAATTTCGGCCTATATTGAGACCATATGCTCGAGTCTATGAATTGGATGTCGCCTGGGGACTTAACAATTTTAAAAACAATTATTTATCATGACTTAGAGATCTAGAAATTTCCATTCCGATCTTGAAACTTCCAAGTATGGTTTTGGGCTTTGTGACCTATTTTGGGTATTAGGAAAGTTTGATTATCTCGATCAAATTTCTCCTTCATTTGGCAACCGATTGACACTACTTTTGTTGAATAGGAACACTTGTGACCTTTAATTTCGTGACATGAGTTTGAAATCAGATAATCACAAACTTCCCAACATTGATATAAATCGATAACCTGTTTCGGAGGGTCACAAATCGATTGCCAGGTTTGGGTGGCAACAAGAGTATCAAGACTCATTTTGACCAGTAGAATATATATTTGTTTGTCAAAAATTTAATTTAGACCCGATATCTTGCTGGTCAAACATTGATAAATATTTCAAAAATTTCAAACATTTGTAATTAAATTGAGGCTTTAAACATATATCTTAAATATTTTACTTTCATTTACCAAAGATTTTAAACTTTTATTTGGTAAAAGAAAGGCTTCTCTCATTAAATTAAATGCATTAAATGTCCAAAAGTCTATCTCAGCATATTATATTAGAGTAGATTTTCAGCCTCTAAGGCTCTAACATCCATCGATAAATTTTACCAAAATTCATGTGTATAAGCGAGATGTATAATAACAATACCGTTAAGTATGCTCTAACATTGCTCCGATACGTGGTTATAATGTGCCTTGTATACAATATATTTGATAATTATATTATGAGCAAATACCACAAAAAATCCCAAACTATGCCCACTGTGATACAAATACTGCAAAATTTTTTTGTATCACCAAAAATCCTAAACTTGCTCACATGACACGAATACCCTAAACCTTTTTTTGTGTCACGAAAAAATTCAAATTTATACATGTTTGACATATAGACCCTATATTAGAGTTTCATCAAGAGTATACTTGTCACACCGATATAAGTTTAGGGTTTTTTATTATACAAAAAAAGTTCGGAGTATTTGAGTCACAGTAGATATAATTTGAGGATTTTTTTGTGGTATTAATCCTTATATTAAGCGCTGAAATTTTGATACTGTAACTAAGCACAACTTAATAATTACGTGGTAAGAAAGAGCTAACTTAATTGGTTGAGTGATGCGATATGCCATGAAATATTAAACTCCGAAAAATTGTCAAAGTCAAAAACTTCAGCAACCCATTATTAAATACTTAAATCCTCAGCACTTATCTGTCAGTTTCGTTAAGCAAAGCCCCGTGTACTGTCTGACACGGAGTGGGGATTGCCATGGATAAGGAGGTAAACCAGTTTTAAATTTGATGAAGAATGGTGGCTTAGTTGGCTGATGCCGATGCCTTGTTGCTATCTTAAAAGTTCGTGCACATTGGCTTTGGCCAGTTTGATACTCTTATCCTGCCCCAGATGATATCATTAACAACCAATTTATTTCAAGTGGGGTGGGAAGAAAAGAAACATTTGACCTGCCAACGAATCCTGTTGCGTACTACGTTTACAATAAACAACCTTTGAATTGCTGTTGTTAATGTTTTTTTTGGTAAGTGTACTTGGTCCGTGTACATGTTCTTCAAGGGGGGGAGTCCTTACCTCGTAGCCCTTTCATAAGTTGACTTGAGAGATTAAAGATAATTACTACAACATGTGCTGATTAGTTGACTTTGAGTTCAATTATTTTTGTCTGACCCCCCTTTTTTTTGTCCAGATCTTTTTACTTTAAAAGTTAAACGGATGATTTGGTTACAATATCTAAACATTAATATTAATAGTCACCTCGAATTTTTTTTTATTTATAAATTTTGCGGGTTTAAAGGATCGTTATTTGTCGAACGAGCACTAATTTCGACACTGACTCGCGTGAAAAAAAGGAAAAAAAGAGAAGACAGGGGGGGTCTATGAAAAACGAATCACCCAAGCTAAACACATGAATTTTTTGGATCAAGACTTCACATAATCTATTCTTCATCCGGTCTATAAACACTTTAGAAAGTACAAAAAAAAAATAGAAATACAAAAGTAAAATTCTGTTCCTTTTCTTTTGTATCGAGACCGAGTCGTGTTTTGTTGCACAGAATAGAGACGAAATGATCACGCTCCTCTCCGCCGTGTGATTTGAAATAAAGAAGGAGCTCGATTTGGTGGCCAAATTAATTTGCTTATATATCTATAGCAATCTAGCACCAACATAATTTGAAAACATGGATTCCGTTCTTATTTCGGAAAATCACCAAAACACGACTAATTTAAAAAAAAAAAAACAAATTGCCTACTATTTCGGATTCTTAATCTGACTTTTTTTTTGGCATTGTAGCAATAATCACTCTAATTTACCAAATGAAGAAAATAAAAATATATATAATTTAAAAAAAAAAAAACGAACCATTATAATATATATTTCCCCTTCTTCGCGGAGAGTCTACCATTTTCCGTTCACCAATGTGACTCTGTCGACGAAGCCTCCACCAAAAGCATCTTCCTCCCTCCTCCCACCTTCAATGGCCGCCTCCCCTTCCCCCGTCCGCCGTTCTTCGAGAGAGATACGATAAACCCAATTCCCGGACCGCTCGTCCGATTCGTGGGTACCTTTCCTTTTCGCCTCTCGCTTTCTCTTTTCGGTGTGGTGGTGGTGGTGGGTTGGGGGGTTGTCGGAGCCTTTTTGTTGCCTTGGGGGGGTGTGTGTGTGCTCTTCCTGGTGATGTTTAGAGATGGCCCGGGAAGGGACCGTGGTGCCGGCGGACCCGCAGCAGGCGGTGAAGAAGAAGGGCCAGTCGTCGCGGAGCTGGATCCTCCTCGACACGGCGGGGCGCGGGACGGTGCTGGACGTCGACAAGTACGCGATCATGCACCGCGTGCAGATCCACGCGCGGGACCTGCGCATCCTCGACCCGCTCTTGTCCTACCCCTCCACCATCCTTGGCCGTGAGAGGGCCATCGTTCTCAATTTGGAGGTCTGTTTTTTTTTTTTTTGTGTGGACTTTTTCGTAAATGGGTCTCTCTCTCTCTCTCTCCTCTTTCTTCTTGAAGTTCCTTGAATGGGTGCTGACTATTGTCTTTTACTGTTGTGTCTGTGGGTGTTTGAAACCTTTTTGCAGCATATCAAGGCAATTATCACTGCTGAAGAGGTTAGTGCATAGTGGCTTGTGCTTTTCTTTGTGGTTAATGTCTGCTTATTGAGCAGAGCGGTACTTGTATGATGTCTGGAAGCCCCGTGTTTTGTCACTTCTGTTTTGGAAGAACTTACTTTGGCTTAGCTTGGGATGTTTTTCATGTTTCTTTGACTAATTTAATTGAGTTTTCTCTTCTTGCATTCTGTGAAGTTTTTTATTTTTATTTTTTTTATTGCAATGAGTACTGGTACCATCAACTGGATTCTGAGGTTGCTAAATGGTTAGTGGCCGGGCCTTAATTAGCCGAGGACTGATTTTGTCCCTGGTTTAGCATAACTTGTCTTTCAGTCGCAAGCTTGAACCGCAACTGTTCAACACAGTGAATGCCTTCATTTCCGAAATTATCATATGCCTTTTCCTCTTTTTTTTTCCAGCCAATTTTGACTGAACACAGCTTTCTCGTTATTTACAAGTCTTTAGATAATTCCTTTTGGTTGTTGAGCTACGTAGACCTTTTGCATGAGCAGGTGTCTCTGTTTTTTTTTGTGAAACTACTTAACTAGCTAGGTACTTGTATTTATGCTTTGCTCAGAGATTAAAAAAAAAAAAAAAATTTCTTATGATGTACTTAAACGGTTGTGCAAGAATGGAATCTGATATCTTCTAGTGGGAAATTTCTTTCTCCCTTATGTAGAGAAATAAGTTAGTTCTGGGTCAGTTTATTCTCTTGTTTTATATGATAAGTTAGCACTTGCATTATTGGCTTGTAGGTGTTGCTTCGAGACCCATCAGATATAAATGTTATACCAGTTGTTGAGGAGCTCCAACGGCGATTAGCTGTAAATGCCATATGCCAGGGTCAAGACGATGCAAAAGAGTACTCTCATGGACATAATGATGAAGCTGGGGAAGATGATGGTATGGGGTGTGTTTGAGTTGGTTCTTTCTAATTGGATTTGTTTCAAGCTGGCCATCTTTTGATAGCTGTAATGTGATGGTGCTGCTATGCAGAGTCTCCATTTGAATTTCGTGCCTTGGAGGTAGCTTTGGAAGCAATTTGTAGCTTTCTTGCAGCACGTACTACTGAATTGGAGACTGCTGCTTATCCTGCTTTAGATGAGCTCACCTCAAAAGTAAGTAGATTCACTGTCCCATCTCACTGAAAAAATAAAATAAAATAAAAAAAGCTCTGTTGAGGTTCTTTAATTGTTTTAGGCTTCTCCTTCTAAAGGAGTGATTTGCGGCTGAACGCTGCCATTTGTGCAATTCTTAGCGTAACTAATAATATTGTTTGTGCGGAAATAGATATTGTTTTACTGATTGAAATGTGTTTCTGGTGTAGCTTTCATTTGTTGAATTCCAGGCATTTCTGCCTCCCTTTAAGGATTTTATGACTGAGTGATTGGTGAACTCTTGAAGACTGGTCCTTGGTTTTGCATGCTTGATGTGATGTTATGCATGATCAGCTGAATTTTGTTAGTTGCTATTTCTCCTAGAGATTCGTTATTGTGCTTCTGAAAGTGTTGATTGATGATGATGCTGTAATTCTTCTTATGGGGCTTTTGCCTCTTTGGCATAATCAAGCCATTATTCTTTATGTTTGGAATTTTACAGCAATGTCTTGATGCTGGCTGGTCGATCATGCTTCTTTGCTCAATCTCAGTTTGAAATGTCTATTTTAAATTTGCATGTTTGTTGTCTGTGGTCTTTGTAGATCAGCAGCCGTAACTTGGATAGGGTTCGTAAATTGAAGAGTGCGATGACAAGGCTAACAGCAAGGGTGCAAAAGGTATTGTGAGTCACTTTTTGCCCTGCAAAGTTATGTAACTTCTGGGTCATTGCTGAAATCAAAATGGTTTACCTTGCCAATATCTATCAACTTTTTCGACTGAGTATGATATCTTTGTGAGTAACATAAAATTTTAGTTTGTCCTTGTCTATCTTGATTCTATGTACTCATGCAACTTTAAGGACTTGGCCTAGACTTACTGACAATCCTATGTATGGTAAATTGTTTGTATCTTTAAATTGAGTGTTTAGATGAGCTTGTATGAAAAGTCATACTTGATTAATATGTACATAATCGAGATAGATCTAATTGTCTTCATGAAATGGTGCCCTACTGAACATGGCAATCTCTCTCTCTCTCTCTCTCTCTCTATTTAGAGGAACATCGTTGAACAGAACCTCTTTCTGATATTCTTAATCATAGACTTTTCTGTCACTATACACGGATGTCTTCTTCTCGGTACCTATGATGTGTAGGAGGGTAACATCTTGAAAGGTATTTGTGGTACATTGCAGGTAAGGGATGAGCTTGAGCAACTACTAGATGATGATGATGATATGGCTGACTTGTATTTGTCAAGAAAACAAGTTGGTGCATCTTCCCCTTTAAGTGGTTCAGGAGCCCAAAATTGGTATCCTGCTTCCCCTACCATTGGCTCGAAGATATCTCGAGCCAGTAGGGCGAGTGTGGCAACAGTTCGTGGAGACGAAGATGATGTTGAGGAGTTGGAAATGTTACTTGAGGTTTCGCGCTATTTCCTGTTGGTGTTATTGTGGATGCTGTCTTTATTTCTGTTGTTTCTTGAATGGGCATCAATTTCGTTTTTTTCAGGCTTACTTTATGCAAATTGATGGCACATTGAACAAGCTGACAACAGTAAGTACTTGTCTCAGATAGGGAATTATCTGCACGATCCTTTAGTTGCTGCACTATTCGCCTGCATTTATCTGCTGTCAAATCTTGGGTAGAGTGCTTTCATTGATGCTTTAGACAGGTAATGAATTTCAGTGATGCTTGTGCTACAATTTTTTCATTTCGTCTGCATCATTGTGATACATAATTATACTACAAATGATCATTGAGGAACATTTTTGTTAGCATTGTTTACACTCTCATTTGAGTTAGGATGGCTAAATGAAACCTGTCTAATTACTATATTTGAGCCTATTGAAATCCATTAAGAGACTTTAATTTTTATACACCAGTACAGGGTCAACAATGAACAGTTATCATGGTGTTGGGAGATTGAAATTTGTGATGTGTCGTAATTGAAGTCGAAAATGTCCTGTACTAAATAAAATCAATCTCTTAGGCTCCGTTTGTTTACTGGAAAATGAATGACTTGAAAGCATTTTCCTAAAAATGATCGATTTGTATTGCTACAAAAATGAACGAGTGAAAAATATTCTCATCGTCCACGAAAATGTTTAGACATAAATTGTTGTCAATAATGAAAACATTTTCCATTGACTAATTATATCAAGCGATACAAGCGATTATTTATAGGGAAATGTTTTCCAAACCATTCATTTTCCGCGAAAAAAACACAGCCTTAATAATGATTTGCTTTTGTTTATTTAGGGTAGCAGATAAATTATCGACATGTTGATTTTGTGCTAATTTCACGCTATTAAGGAAGTTTGGAAATCTTTTAACAGATTGATTCATTATGTGCTCTGGTCAAACAGTCACCCAAATTCTCAATTTGCTTGCTCTGGATCACTTGCGATGCATGGCTAAAATAATTGTACTTTTGAGAGTTTGATTACTGGTGCCACAATATAAGGCCCTTTGTCTACAAGTGCATGGTTCAATTTGGTAACTAAATTGGCTTATCTTTGCTGTCTAATGTCCATTTTTCAAAAAAATTGATTTGCCTAAGTTGCACATGTGCAGCTTCGGGAATATATCGATGACACAGAGGACTACATTAACATTCAGGTAATTGGATTGATTAAGTTAGTTGCAAATCATGTTTCTATAAAGAGAATTAAATAGATAAAAAGGTGAAAAACACAAGTTTTGCATAGACTTGAGTCATTGTTTTCTTTTTCCTGATATTCTAAGTACTTTCTTTTTCCTCAGCTTGATAATCACCGGAATCAGCTAATTCAGGTGCTTTTGTCTCTCTCTCTCTCTCTCTCTCTCTCATTGTCTATATTCATATTCTCAATTGATTCATTTTTATATGCGTACTCAAAGTAGTTCTCTTCTTCATTTAGTTGCTAATGTTCGGAGTCGTTGAATTGATTTACATGTTCTTTATCTCCTCTCTGTCTATGGTTGCAGCTAGAGCTCTTCCTGAGTTCAGGAACTGTTTGTTTGTCCATCTATTCTTTGGTTGCTGGCATTTTTGGTATGAACATACCTTATAATTGGAACGATAACCATGGATACATGTTCAAATGGGTAGGCCTAAACCCTTTAATCAATAACTTCATCGTCTCATCTCCTTCTTGACTTCTCTTCTCAACTTCACTTTTCCTTAAAATAAACTTTGCGCTAACGCTGGCAGGTCGTGATTGTGACTGGAACCATTTGCGCATTCTTATTCGTCATTATAATGGCATATGCTCGTCATAAGGGATTGGTCGGATCTTGACTTTGCATCTCTCGAGCTGGCCTTTGGGACAACTAAATGGCAGGGCCACGAGGATGGAGTATGTTTTGATTCAGAGAGCTGAAAATTGTTATACTCGTGTTGCTGAGATTGTTGGTACACTCTTATTTCCCATTTTAGTTGATAAACCATAGAAGGAAAAATCCCTCAGGACAGCATTCATTAGCAGCAATTGTGGATAAAGCTTATAGGGAATCATTTTTTTCCCCCTTCTTTACATAAATTTTCTTGATTTCACACAGAATGATTGGTTGTACCACAAACTTGTTACACACGATAGTTGTGACTAACCGTCGAATAATCGGTACTTACATAGTACGTAATTCTTAGTAGATTGCTAATGTTGTTCCCTTTTGGAGGTGAATTTGCGTAGTGTGTCGGACCATCTTGCTCAATCTATTCAAAGCCTTATGATACAATGCTGCATTTATTTGACAAAACTGATTATGATCGGATTCTTCTCTTGTTTATGTGGATGACATGATCATCACGGGAGATAATACAGTTGATATTACATATCTTATGAGATGTCTCCATGGACAACGAGAGGTGAAAAGATTTTGGAGGTTGAGTTACCTTTAAGATTTGGTGTTCTCTGGCGAGATGAAAGTGATTTGTATCTCGGGCCAAATATGCTGGTGATCTTTCTGGAGATGGCTGAGTTTAGAGTTGTGATAGGATCGACTTCTATTGTGGACTTCATCTGCATACAACCACTAAAAGATCCAAAGGGTTCAATTTGGTATGTTCGACAATGCACTGTCCAAAAACCTGTTAAGCTTCTAAATAAATGGGGCTTGATCCTTGTCGATTTGAAACTTATTGGAGTCTTACATAGATTAAGACTAGACTCTGCATCTTAAGTCATGCTATTACTTTCGGCGGTAAACAGAAAAAGAAGGCCTAATTCCCTAAAAGAACTCAACTTTAAGTTTAGTCCCAATTTTACTTTGAACTTGTTTTTTGTCTATCTCCGACTTTCACTTCAGTCTCAAATCTGCTACCGTTAGTCCTCTGGCAAAAATCTCCGTTAATCGTCCAACGGGGATAACGTGGCTTTTCCACGTTAGCAATAGGTTTATGTCATCTGCTTACTGTGTATTTTTCTCCACTCTTCATCACCCTTATCTGCTTTTGCTTCTTTGTTCCTTGCAACCTCCATTAACAGAGGTGCTCGAGCACAAAGCTCAAATCTGGGTCGGCGATTTTATCGGATCTTCCTTACAATCTATCACACAACTTCCTCCTTCCTAATCGGAGCTGCAACTTGTTAATTTCAACTCAACAGTATCTCGGGTCAATCATTTCCAACTTAAAAAACTTGTCAAAGCGACGAATTTCTCAATCTCAGCTTCAAGAACTTGGAACTCAGGAGACTCGAACAGCTGAGAGCATTGATAGTGACTAAAAGAGAACTCCTTGAGAAGTTAATTATCCCAGGAAGCTCAAAGAAGCTTTAATGAACTGTGGGTGTTGACATGTCCAAAGCTAGTTGAGATTAAAGCCTCGTCACTGTTCATCATCCTCTTCGCAAGGGCTCACTTGGCCACGGCTTCCCCGGTGCTGATCCACCTCTGATGCAGTGCCACGGCCTTCGACAACCCCTCCGCGACAGTTGGTAGTCGTCCGAATCATCTCTGGCCATTTCAGCCAAGGCCCTATTTTCGATTCCATTTATTCAAGCTTCAAGAAGCCATTTTTATTAGCCACCAATTTTGCTCAGCCATCCCCGAAGTTTGTTTACTATAACACAAATATCCCAAACTTTTTTATATATCATCCAAACTAATATTCAAAACTCCTAAACTTGTATCAGTATGACAAAAATACCATTCATCACAATTCATCCAAGATCACCTTAAAATCTGACATAGCAGCTTATGTGGACAATGATGGGCCAACAAAAATGATGTGGATCTAAAGTGGCTTTATGACTATTGGTGGAAAGAAAAGTTTGGGTCACTGATACAAGTTCATGAGTATTGATGACACAGAAAAAGATTTAGGGTATTGGTGTCACGGTGGACAGAATTTATAAAATTTGGTGGTAGACGGAGAGTTTTCTTGTCAATCGGTGTAAGTTTGGAGTATTGGTGACACGAGAAAAAAATTTAGGGTAGTGGTATCATCCTAGTTTTTTTTTGTGGTGGACGTAGGGTGCAAAGTTTAGGATTTTTGGTGGTGGACAAAGGGTATCTTTATCACACTATTACAATTTTAGAGTTTTGGTGGCACCAAAAAAAGTTTAGGGTACTCGAATCTATTAAGATTCGACGCACAATCACGATGAAATAGAGAGTAAAAGCGAGAAAAAGAAATCTAGACACAATATTTTTATCGTGGTTCACTTTTAAACTAGGGTTACATCCAACAGAAGATTCTACTATAATTAACACCCCGCACCTCTCTATTATAATTTTCAATTACAAGAGAATAAAAATATATATAGGCAATACAATTATTATTTATGAGCTCAAATTCAAACTATCAATAAAATATGAGTTTAAATTATAAAAGCCATAAAAAAATACTATAAAAGCCACTTGGCTTTGCGGGGTTGCTACCCCTGCCTGTTCAGCAGGAAGTAGGACCCTCATGCTTTCCTATCTCTAGCAGGAATATAAATCACATCCCAATAATATCATAGTAGCAGAGTTTATTGGCGGTGTTTTGTCCGATTTGAAATAGGTGGAAAAAGTGCAACACATCGTGCTGTGTGCCTTTATTTTTGACTGAAAAGTGCAACCTACACTGTGCAAGAGCATTTTTTATGAGATGAAGAAGGGGCAGGCACTGAATGTTCTTTCCTTAGCAAATGAAACCAAGTATCATCTTGTTCGTGCACAACATCCTCGACAATAACATCTTTACACAACAGATTTTCCGACATCAATGACCAGCATCCTCAAAGAGTTAACAACGAGCTCAATTTACTCAAATTATTCTAGAATTGAGAGGATTAAGATGATTTTGGGTTTGGGGTTAAATTTATTCACAAGTGATGTTCGTATATATGATACCGTGATTAAAGTTTTGGCTGGAGATACGTTTTGCTATCTAATCTGGAATGACAGAAAGTACAGCCCTATGCTATAAAGTGCAAGTTTAGAGAAAAGAATTGTTCGTCATATCCTGTTGAAACCAGCTATGTAGATATCAATTCTTACTGCACGTTTGGTTAGAGGATCAGTTAAAGTAGCCATGTAGGGGCTCTTGGGGTTATAATGGAATAGACCTGTTTTGGTTGAAGTATCAGTTGAAGCAGCCATGTATGAGCTCTTGGGATTATATTGGACTAGGAAGCACGGACACTCTCCGGGGGCCTCCGTGTTGATGTTGGACGCGTGTTGGACGCCGACACGCTTCGACACATGACCGACATATGGTCAACAGGTATCAGACATCCGACACTTGGTCAACGCTCCGGATATGCCAGCGATACGCGAGTCCAGCATCTCGACACACTACTTCGACATGCACGGGTCACTTTTAAAAACTTTCAATAAATTAGGGGTCAAAATATAAATCTATAAAAAATATATATACTTAAGTCATATACCCATAAGCCCCAAAGTTAATATATTCAGCTAGGCCAAAAAAACCTAACCGTAAATTAGGTGGAATGTGGATTGCTTGTTTTTTTTTCCTCCAAGTTTTATGGATATTTAGAATGGAATGTAATTGAATTTGTCAATTGGAAATAATGAATGATATTAACAAATGGTGGATTGATGTTTTCGGTGTAAATTCATTATAGAATTTTATTATTATTTATTTATTTGTGGATTTGAATCAAATTAATTTGATTGAAATAATCATTAAAATGATAATTTATCATGTATATATAAAAATATACATTTAATATATAACATGTCCCAACGCATTGAAATTCTCTATTTTTTGAGAAATGACGTGTCGGCGTTTCATATTGTGTCATGTCATGTTGCGTGTCGGGGTCGGTGTCAGTTCTACTTAAATAATGGAACAGACCTGTTAAAATAAGTCAAAGACCCACTTCTGAATCCATATAAGATGGGTTGAGTTGTTATATGTTTTAGTTATAGTCATAAATGAGTTTACAACTTTCTTGGACCCAACCCACCTTTATGACTTTTTATTCATTCTCTTTTGCCCTCATTCAATCTTGCATTCACTCACTCCGCACTCTTCGCTCAATTTGGGTATGAGTTTTTCTATATTTGGTTATTTTAGTAATATGGATCGAGTAGGATACGTGTCACTAGAATATGCATTGTATGGAAATGGTTTAAAACGGGTTAAAAGGGTCTCATTTTTACTCGAACCAAAACCGACCTGCCCGTTTGATCGGTCTTTAGTGGAACAAGCGCCGGTCGGCGGAGGCCGAGATCTTGGTGTAAGGGAGAACGGCGGCGGCCTGCTGGAGGTCGAGCATCTCGCCGCGGAGCTTGTCAGGCTTGGTGTCGATGAGGGCCAGCTCATCAGTGGGGTCCTGGGTGAGGATGGTCTGGGCGATGTCCATGCCGACATTGCCAACCCCGACGACAGCGATCTTTGTGTGGCGCTTGGAGCGCAACGGGGGCGGGGTGTTCTGGATCGGCTTGAAGAAGGCTTGGGTTAGGTCCAAGCCGCTGTGCATATATGGTTTGGGCTTGTGTTTTGTGAGTTGCGGTTGGTCAGGCATGGTTGTAACTGTTGATGTTTAGAGTCAGAGAGAAAACAACGACAAAGTGTTTATGGTGGCTCAACCCTAATTAGGGTTGTATGATATGTATTTATAGGAGTGACTAATTACAGAAAGGGTACACATATAAACATAATTACATAAATACCCCATAATACATATAATTATACATTAATACTCCCCCTCAATCCGAAGTAGGTGTAACAACTGAGAGATTGGATCTTAACAACGCGTGACGCGGACTAGGTAGTCCCTTGGTGAAGATATCTGCCAATTGATCTGTTGTAGGCACGTAGCGAACATGGAGATCTCCGGAAGCAACCCGTTCTCGAACAAAATGGTAATCCAACTCAATGTGTTTGGTGCGAGCATGAAACACAGGGTTGATAGCAAGATAGGTGGCAGAGATGTTGTCACAATAAACGGTGAGAGGATTATAAAGGGGGACCCCAAGCTCACGAAGTAAATGACGAATCCAAATAGTCTCAAGAACACGGTGAGCGACAAAGCACGATACTCAGGCCTCCTACTAGAACGGGCCACGGTGGGTTGCTTCTTGGCACTCCATGAAACAAGATTGGTGCCTAGAAAAACACAAAACCCGGAGGTGGACCGTCTAGTATCGGAGCATCCAGCCCAATCTGCATCGGCATAAGCAGTCAAGGAAGTGGGAGAACCCCGCTCAATGAGCAAGCCATGGGTGGAGGTGCCAGCTAAATATCGGTATATACGTTTGACGGCCTGGAGATGAGGTAA